TGCAAACCGATACACAAATAAGCTTGACTGAAAGTCAATCCACAAAATGTATTTATGCACTTTACAAAGCTACTTTATTCATTGTTCTCCCAGCTGAACAGTTATTCTAAAATCGACTGAGGGTTTTTTTTAAACCATCGGTATCTCCAGTAAAGTCTAGCAGGTTTGAAGACGGTGTCAAACTTTTGCTACACTGTACCTTTTGTGGCAGGGCTGAGACAAAGCATTAAACTTAATGCAGGTATATTTCACAGGCTCTCAGTAAAATCTTCTTTCTTTAGTGACTTTCACCCACTCTTATGTCCTTTAAACATGTCTGATGGCTCTAGCATGTGTGACCCAGATGAAGCCCCAAAGCACAGAAGCTACTTGTGAAGTTGTGTTATTTGGGTAAGTAACAAGACCAGTGACGAGTGAATAGTTCCCCAGTGGCAGTATCTAAAGCTAATCTAGGGGGTGAGGAGAAAGGCTGGCAGCAGGAAGAGATGGGGGGGCAAGAGGAAGAAGTGAAGAGAGGTGAGAGGGAATGCTGAAAGAAGCCCCAGCCGACTCCGTGAAAAAAGAAAGAGAAGTGTGATTTCTTCAGTGTTCAGCTGTGACAGTGAGATGACTGTGGGTGCATGTGTGGATGTGTGCATGCATACAGGCACCAATGATGAGGGCTTTGTGTCTGCTGAGCTCAGCTAATGCCATGCTATCATCTCCACTGGGGCATCAGAACACGGCACTGGCAGAGAATCAACTGCAGGTCAGATCGCTGGCGCTCACTCTTTCAGTGAGCTGGCCAAGGTGGTGGGAGTGCAGCCACTCTGCCAGAATACCAAAAAGAGCAGGGCAGCGGTGGCGGGAGGGGGGTAGGTAGGTGCAGCTGAGAGATCCGTACACATTTAGTGGAGCTACACGTACCTCTTCATGTTCGGGGAAATTATAATGAACTTTTATGAAAAAAAAAAACAAACACTTATAACAAGTATGAATCAGCGACAAGTGGAGATAATTGTCAAGTTTTTAACAACGCCGCAGTTGCACTTCGATATTTCACTACCACTGAAATTTCTCACCCTGCCAAAAGAGAATCTAAGGTGATGCTGAAGGTGAGAAAAATGATGTCTAAACTGGCGACAGCGAGAGAAAGACTGAAGGGGAAGCCAAGCCAGACTATTTAGGTGTGCAGGACATCCATATTCAGGCAGAAAACTCAAGGGTACGATTGGCACACAGAGAAGAGAAGGTCGCCAGAAGACAAGCTGGCATGTAGAAAAATAGCAGCTGACAGAGCAGCCAGAGTCAACATCTCTCTTGGTGTCTGTCACTTTTCTGGACTTACTTTTTAACCACTCAATTTTAGCAAAATCCCACTAACCACAACTTATAATTAACAACAGACTATACTGATCCATTTTTCATGCACCGACTGTTCAAGGACAATTAGTCTGGCCTTCAGTTAGCAGTAATTGGCATTCTACTAGCTTTTAAAAAGCTGAAAAATCGAATGTAAAACGTTGCTCCCATTTACACAC